TCAAAACAACATCAGTAGGAGTTGTAGTAATGCATTAATCATGTCATTAGTATCTACAAACGTTTTGTGCGTATAAACTTGTTGTAATCGTATGACTATCTGGGTGTGTGGGTGTGGTGGGTGTGGGTGTGGGTGTGGGGTGGGTGTAGGGGTGTGGGTGTGGGTGTGGATGGGTGTGGATGTGGCGGTGTGGGTGTGGGTGTGGATGGGTGTGAATGTGGCGGTGTGGGTGTGGGTGTGGGGTGGGTGTAGGGGTGGATGTGGCGGTGTGGGTGTGGGGTGGATGTGGCGGTGTGGGGTGGGTGTAGGAGTGTGAGTCTTACTCTCACACCCACATCCACCTCCACACCCACACACCCACACACACCCCACACCCACCCACCCACACCACATCCACACTCACACCCACACACCCACCCACATCCTAACGACACCTAGCCGAGCTTTTGAATGCTTCTTTTTTATAGAAAACCAAAATCATTATATGATAGAGAAAATTTTTCTCTATCTACTGATACCTAAGTAATATTTGCCCCTTCTCGAAATCGAAAAACACCAATCATCTTAAACCCGCTTTTGTTACTCTTATTCCATTGTGCTCTTTGCCGTGTGGATCCATACCATTTGATAAATATAAATTAATCGTAAATCAGTTGTTTTGATAAATAAGAGAATGATGCAAAATACGAATAGAATGCATAGAATCCGTCAGAATAGCCCACTTTGTATAAATATTTTTTTTAGATGAAAACTTTATATATGTTGATTTTTTTGTTATTCTTACCTTTGGCAACCACAAATACTTCACATGAACAAACCAAAGATTATGATTTATTAACAAATTTTACAAAATATAACGATCCGGATCTTGTACATGTTCTTAGCCAAGGTATACCATCAAAAATCTTCAGTCATATCACAAACAAACACATAAAGAGTGAGGAATCAATTGAAAACAAACCAACATTGATTTATGAACTCGCTAAGTCATGCATAGCGCTTTTTAATTATGATTATGGTAAAGATTTATTATTAAAATTGAGAAAGTTTATTTCAAATAAGACATTTATTGATGAAATGATACAAGAAGTTGATAAAATGATTAGTGATTATTTGGTACGAATAAAAAAATACGAAGATGAAGTCGAACATCATCCAATAGATAAATTTTATTATAAATGGGAAGGTTTACAAGCATTAAATTATCAAGAGCATGAAAACAGTGTTACTAATGTAATTTATAGTGAACAAATATCGTTTATGAAGTATGCAAGAAAACAATACATGAATCAGCATCATGCATTCCGACAAATATTCTACTTATATGCGATTGAAACAGGACGAATAGAATATGTTTACGATATCGATGACACTACCGTTATTAACATGATGAAGAAAATGAATTTGAGTATTTTATTAGAAGAAGGAAACAATAAAACCAAAAATGAATGCGAAGAAATTATAAAAATTATTAATAGTCAGTTCATATCCATCTTCAACTAGTGAGTCGCTTGTGATTTAATTGCGCTTTAACTGTTTATTTTAAGTATTTTTAACTGGTTTGACAAATGTTATTTCTATTTTTTTATAACTAATTATTTTTCTATTTTCAGTTCTCAACCATTACCATCATTATTTACATTAGATTATTTAAAACAATTACATGCTGAACATATACAATATGCACCATATACAAGTCAATATGTGCCGGAGTTGCAAGCACAAATTAGAATATTGATTCCGTCCGGTCGATTTAAACTGACACCAAATTCGGCAACACGAAAGGATGGCAAATTATTTCAATTTTGTCCACCATCTCAAGTTGAAGAGCAAGTAAAATTATTATTTTCGTTGTATGAAAAATATGAAAAGGAAAATATTGATCCAATTGTACTAGCTGCTTGGTTTCATGCAGAATTTATTCGAATTCATCCATTTGTTGACGGTAACGGTCGTATTGGTCGTCTTTTATCGAGTAAAATATTGATGAAAAATGATTTATTACCTTTGATTGTTGAGAAGAGAAACAAGTTAGAGTATATCGACTGCATGGATGAAAGTATTACACGAAATAATTTAACATCGCTAGTTAATTTTATCAGACATGAACAATATTCACTGATCGAATACGTACGAAAACAAATAATGTGTGAAAAACAGAAATATCCTACTTGTTTACTTGATAATTGATCTTTTTTTTTTCAACTTGTTTTTTCTTTGTTGTACTTTGTTGTTATTGTGGGTGTGTGTGTGGGTGTGGGTGTGTGTGTGGGTGTGGGTGTGAGTGGGTGTGGGTGTGGGGTGTGGGTGTGGGTGTTTCTTTTCTCTATCCACACCCACACCCACACCCACACCCACACCCATACCCACCCCACACCCACACCCACCCACACCCACACCCACCCACACCCACCCACACCCACACCCACCCACACCCACACCCACCCACACCCACCCACACCCACCCACACCCACCCACACCCACACCCTCAAAAATGTGGCCTTCTATAAATTCAAGCTCTGATTCCTTACAGTGCTAGATGTCCATTATATGAGACAGGGCTGTACATTTCACTATCGAAAATACTTCTTTTTGAGAGATATTGATATCAGAAAACAGAAGCAATCTTTGTTTTCTAGATTTTGAATTAAAAATTAATTTGTTTTTATATTAAGCTGAAATTCATACTATGATTAGTACGACTTTTCTGTGACACGAGACTAACGAGGGAAGGACTCTAAATGATCCATCGCTTTTAAGCCAGAACTATGTGCACCATGTAGACTCTAATGAGTTATGAATACTCTCAAAAGAGTTCGGGTCTATAGCTTATTACTGCTGAGATACTACATTTCTTGAATATGATTTTTTGCTTTATCCCTTGATCTCCTTCAGTAATACCAGAAGAGATGACTTCCTAGTTTCAGTTTGAAACTTTGCACAAGGATAGATCTTCACGAGAATAGTTTATTGTCAAAGTTTTAGTACTTTTTGTTGCTTCTGTTGTAAGATTTGTTCATGGTAACAGTATGTTGTTCACATTGCTCATACACTAGTAGATTCCAATGTTTTTGTTTCAGGAAAGGAGCAACTAAAAGATCTAAAACTTTGACAACAGGGTGTGGATGTGGATGTAGATCATAATATACTTCGACACACCCACACCCACCCACATCCTAGGAGCCACAAATAACTCTTTATCTAACTGTTTAACTTTGATTAGCGACTGAATCCATGGTAAGCATATCACTGTCCGGAAACACGACAATTCTCTGGGTTTTGTGCCATTTTCTTGAGAGAAAGCTTTTCTCGATTTTGACCACTTAGAGAGATAGTACGTAGTCGAAAATAGTCTGTGTGTGAAACGAAAAAAAAATTTCGATACCGAAAACTTGAATAACTAGCCAGTTTGGCTATACGTAAAAGCCGAATTGTTTCTAAGGAATGCGCTAGATCTTGAAATACTAAGTATCAAAGTTTTATCTTCGTGCATACAGACTATTTTCGACTGCATCTTACCTTAGTGGGATGGACAAAATTGAAAAAACCTTTCATCTAGAAATATGATACGTTTTGCATCGGTTTACCCTAATAAAAATTTTGTATCAAAGGGCGTCGAGTTATGCATAGTGATCAATATTGAGTTCAAATAGATTTCAACATGTTTTGTTTGTTCATTTGACTCAGTAAGGAAATTAACTTCTCGCGTAAATACTTTATTTCAACTTTGATGATTACTGAAGTTATCTTCAATTTCTATTTGGAAAATATCTTTCTTGAAGAAATATCGTTCAGGCCTGGGTTGGACTGGACTGGGTGTGGGTGTAGTTGCAGAGAAGATGAAAACCCACACACCCACCCATATCCACTGTGACGATTTTAGATAGAAGAGTTAGCGCTGATGGAACTACGCTTTATTGTATTTCTTCTTACCAAGAATCGTATCGTTTCCATACAAAATATATGTTTATATACTTATCCATCAGAGAGAAGGAAAGAATATGAAAGGAAGAAATGATAAGGACAGAAAACAACATAAAACCATATATGGGAAGAAAGAGATATAAGGACAAAGTATAAGGACCAAAATATAAGAACAATACGGTCATTATGCCATACAGTGTACTCAAGCGGGAGCATTACATCCACATCCACACTCACATCCACACCCACATCCACATCCACATCCACATCCACACCCACATCCACACCCACATCCACACCCACATCCACACCTACATCCACACCCACATCCACACCAACACCCACACCCCACCTCAACCCACACCATCCACCCATACCCACACCCACACCCCACCTCAACCCACACCATACACCCATACCCACACTCCACCTCAACCCACACCATACACCCA